ATAAAGGCAGCACAGTCAACGTGAGATTCCGACATGGACACGCTAGAAAACTGTCGAGGGACGAAGTCGACGGTGGCTCTTGGGGCTTCTGACCATTTGCTTTGGTGCCGAAGCATATCTTGGGATGCTGCGCGATGTCGGAGGCCTAAACCGCATCGAGCTGCAGCTACTGCCGTGGGAGTGGGACATGTTTTCCTGCTGTAGCTTGTGCGAGGTAAGGAGCCACTGAACCCACGCGAAGGGGCATCTAGGCCCCATGTAGGGAGCCTGGCAGCCCGAGCCACCTGGCTGCAAAACCAACACATGGCCCTCCCCAGCCGCCCTCCCCCAGGTTTCTGTGCGAGCCCACCAGCCTAACCGCGAAAGAATAACCACTCCCTGCTGCTCCAGCCCAAACACCACCAAAGAAGTTCTCGTATGACCAATAACGTGGGCTCATCTAAGCGTCGAAGCCTGTAAAGACCTGCCCGGGAAGCTTCGTTCTCGTCTTCCCCCACCTTGCGAAGCCACCAAAGCCACCAACGCTGCCCTGAAAACCCCCACTAGCTAGTATTTTCCGTTGGCGACTTTTACTTTTCCTTTGTCTTCGTCTCTGGCAGCCGCCACGCATTGAAAATCGCCTGGCAACTAGTGGTCCGCGACTCTAAGGACTCACAGATTGGCCAGTTGATGTCCTCTCTCCTTCCTGAATCAGGGTCCGAGGTGCCACGTTCCTTTTCAATCCTCCTTTGTTAGCCACGGGAACTACCAATCATGGCCAAGTGCGCGGCCCTGCTGACCACGATCAAGGGCGAGAACAAACCGCGGAGTCACAAACATGGTCCCCAAGACCAAGAGAAAGGCGAGGCAGACCATCGGGCGGGTTAGGTTTCCAACCAGCTGGGCCGGTCTTTCTAAAGCCGGGTAATGATCGCCTACGCCCCGGGACAATTGACACACGTACGCGGTACGGAAAATGGTTGCCGCTGAATGAGAACGGGGATTTCTGGTTCATTTGTGCTGCCAGCAAAGGTTGATGTCAATCTGTACGTACGGCCTTGGTGAACACTTCCTGATCCTAGCCAGCTACAAGAGGGCTCAGGGCTGAGAACCAAATTAATCCGAGGTCTGCAAGTGTTCTTCCACAAGGAACAAGGGTGGCTCAGGCCCTCGGCTCTCGCGTAACCTAGACCAGGGGCCTTGGGAAGCATGTCAGTTTTCTTTGTCTCGCAAACTCTTCTAATGCTCACTGACTAGGCCCTGCCGCGGTGATCCCAGCTGCAGGGCACATGGCGCTTCGGGATTCGGTTCAGCTCTCCGTATAGCCAACTCTGTGATAAGCCCGTTGAGCCCCTCTACTGGTCTGGATGCTGATTAGCCCGAATTCCCAAAAGTGAAGTCAAAAGACATGGCGCAGCTGACCCACCAACCGTGGCACTCATGGGTCGCCTTCCCTCTTCAGGTCAAAGAGAGGGAAGGAGCAAAAATGGTGTTATATGTCGCGGCAGCTGGTCACCCTCGGGCGTCTGTAGTCCTAGACTCTTTCCTCCCCAGAAGGGTGACCTCTACAGCGACCTGGAGACAAACATGATCTACGCTCGTTTACTGGTTGGAAAGCCTACCACAGGCAAGGCTGCGCCTCCTAATCCCGACATCATCGTCGACGGCGCATGCAACAGAGGCCCTTTTCGAATCAACGGCAGACTCAGTGTTCTCGAGGACTCCATAAGGCGTCATGCATTCGACACGGTGCAATTGTGTCTTAGAGGTAGGGTCGAGATGACAAGACTGTTCTGTGCCTGAAGTCTTACCTAATGCCAGGGGTGATTACATCTTCCGTGGGCTACAGGAATGCCCTCGAGGACATCATTACCTTGACCGATGTCAAGGCGGTATCAGATTTCAGACAATGCACCTGCATCAGCCAAGAGGACACGCAAAAAGGCCGCCATCTGGACTTTTACTTCGAATTGCCCACCACCATATCTACCACCGATAGCAGGTTTCGTTCTCTTCCATTGACGGGCGCATTCACGGGCACGACTACTATTGTGCAAAGCACGGCGCTGAGCGACCACCGCGTCGCCCACGGAGAGTGCGAGGTGTCCTACTGGATCGAGGCTATATTTCGTCTTTCTGGCATGCAAGTCGGTTTCTTGAACCAGCATATCCAAATCTCGTCTTTGTATCCATGCTTGCGAGCATCGTTGAGGAAAGGAACACCTTTGACCATACGTGCGAAACCTGACATTCTCGCTCGATGTCGGCTTCAGAAATGCCCTGATCTTTCGCTTACCTTGTCCGAAGGGGACATGACAATACAACATGACCAAAAGACCGGCAAGCGCCACATCAGCCTGCCTCTGGCCGTGGCCATGGGCGCCTCTGAAAGCTTTCCCATGGATTCCCGTCAATCGCTGAAATGTTCTGTCGAGGCCAAGTGGGAAGTGAACACGCGCTTCTCAGTCACCCCGGGTCACCCATCTACGGGGAGACTGAGGGCGGGCGAAGCAGTCTATAAAACGACCACCGCGTCAACGCAGAAAACTACCATTCTATTTCGACCGCTCCCGCAGTACGATGACCAACGAGCCCAGAATGTCAGGACGAACGCCGTTGATCCGTATGTTGCAACATCTCAACTGGACATGCCGGTGCCGGATGCCGTCTCTCAGCCATCGCTGAACTGGAAATATCTGTCAAGAACGTACAGTCTAGACCTCTCTCTGACGTTCCACGGCGGCCAGGGAGCGCCCAAGTACTCCCTGCACACCGGCATTCCACTCTCGATCGTGGCTTACGGGTCGAAGGCGGACGACGCAGCGAAGAATCAGGTCGTCGTGGACGTCTCTGAGGTTCCTTCGGGCCGGGAGTCTGACGAGGAAGATGACCTGAGCGATTTGCTCGCCCCTCTAGGTATGAGTGCGGTACAGCGGCCGCAAGGCCAGCGCACTTCAACGAGGACGCCGCCACCCGCGTACTTTCGATGATTTGAAGCGACAAACTAGACCGCCTTGTTGTCTTGGACTGTGTGCTCCCCAACGGACACTTCCAACGCTTGAACACGGCATTCAGATGTGACACGCTGAAGACATACCCTCTACCTCAACATGAGAAGCCGTCGTCATTTCGGGCAGACAGTCAATTGGCCCGGCGATATTCTCGGACCGTCTTCGGAGCAACTCTCGGCTTCACTTACGCGACGGTATTCCAGCGTCTCAACCGTTCCTCTCCACGGGGTGTGCCTAAGCGGAACGAAAAGGGATATCCATCGATAGTGATGCTAGGGATGAGTTGTCGCAAGGCTGCATTTCAGCCTCCCATCCAGCCCCCGGCTGTGCTTAGGTGCTCGAGCGCCCACAAACTTTCAGGCAAAACCTTTTCCCACTTGAAGAGATCTAGCCCATCTGCTTGGCGGCGAGTCGCAGGCAATGATCAGTCAACCTCCTCGACGGCGCTTGAAACAACTCGCAGGGCAAAATCTGACCACACTTTGCATCCCACGCACTGGGAAACAAAGGGCCTTGCGATAAGCATCTGCAGGAACACTTCAGTCCGGACACTAGGACTTGGCCGCTGACCACAGGAGCTAGTAGTATCGGTCCGGGGATTTTCCATCGTCAATCCAACCCTCCTGCGACGCCACTCCTAGCATATCGCGCCTACCTATGTGCCATAAAAGAAGAGAAGGGATTCTCCGTCCAGACACGCGAGTCGGAATTGCATAGTAATCGAGACCCCCACCCCCACCACTTTCACCTTCCTTCCGTGAGCCAGGCGTGGGGGTCGGAGGATGTGCGATCCTCTCTTCTCCCACGCTGTGCGAACACACCGTCTGCATCTCAGTGGTGTGGTCAGCCGTTTGCAGCAAGCACGTGCGCACTCGCTGGTCGGCTGCTAGACCGGACAGGCGATTTCGCGGAAGGAGAATGAGAACGAGGAGCAGGAGGAGCAGAATTCGTCAATGTCTGGTCAGATCGACCGACAGACAGACTGGAGACAGACGGTCAGCGAGCAAGACTGCGAGAACGACGAATAGCTCAGAGAGGAGGGACGGTGCGACGAGGACCTACCCCTATATCAGACCATGAGACCCGTGACGGGCACTTCTCAATGGTGGATGGAAGACAGGTGAAATGAGGGAGTGAACCCGGGAGAAAGCGTTAAGCCAACATATTAGATCCGGTGTTGATAGATCTTATGCATCCAGGAGGGAATAGTTGGCCAGCTACACAGTGGATAGTATAGAGACACTATAGAACGAGACGACTATACCAGACTCCACCGACGCTGGACGGTGTATAGTCTTCCTCCGTACCTCTACAGTATTAAGCGAGCTGACAAGTTGGCTAGTAGGTGGTGATGGCGAAATCATTGTGGCTGTCTCTGTCTGTCTGTGTATGTAAGTGGAGGGAATTGGCTGATAGTTACATGGCTCGTCCCGTCTCTTCGTGTCTCACTTCATTCCATTTTCGCCGGGTTGTCCTCGCTCCGGCTGTGTTGTCCTCGTGTACATCGGCATGTCCATATATGTATTTATAGGCCTCGGTATGTCCGTATGTGCGTCTGCCTGTCGGCGCACTCATCTGTCTCGCATCTTCTTCTGTCAAGTTCTCTAGAAAGAATAAACAAACGATAATAATAACAAGCGTTTGGGAAGGGGACAGGCAGGAGAATTTCGACGGGTCCGCCTACCCACTCACCTACCCACTCATGCACTCATACCCCGCAAAAAAATTGAAGAAATTAAATAAAAATAAACGCGGTATGGGCATGCAAACATGCCTGGATGAGGAGAGGAGCAACCAAGCCCCTAACCAACAAATGCTCCGTACCAATGTGAATGCTGGGGATACAGCCGAGGCGAGTTGGGATATGTTGTGTTGGTTCGGTGACGGGAGGGGAGGAGAAAGGAAATCCCCGCTCGCTTGTCCAGCGCCGGAAGCACGGAGCGAGGCAGGTACCTCGTGCTGATGGCATGCACAATGCACCATCAAGAAACCCCCACTTCAGTTCCTTGGTCACCGATCCAGCGCCTGTTCCTGGCACTGCAACAGACGGGTGTTAGCCTCAGCAGGACAACTTGCATCCAGATCCAGGCGGGGGAAAAGAGAAAATAGGGAAACAGAACAAAGCTGTAGGCTCTTACATACCATCTGCCAATACGCCCCCCGTCTGCTCAACAACTCCTTATGTGTGCCTCTTTCCAGGATCCGCGATCCCCTGCCCGCCTCGCTCTCGCCGAACACAAAGATGGTATCGGCTTTTTGAATGGTCGCCAGTCGATGCGCCACCGCGATCACAGTCATGCTCCTCTGGCCCACCAGGCGCTCGATGGCGCCCTGCACGAGCTTCTCAGATTGTGAATCAAGACTCGAGGTGGCTTCGTCGAGGAGCAGAAGGGACGGGTTGCGCAGCAGGGCGCGGGCGAGACACAAGCGCTGCTTCTGACCGCCACTGAGAGACGTCTGTGTGTTAATCCCCAGTGGTGTGCCGTATCCGTCCGGCAGGGAGATGATGAAGTCGTGGATTTCGGCGTCTTTGCAGGCTTGCACCATGTCTTCTTCCGCGACATCTTCGTCATCGAGGCCCAGGATCAAGTTCTCGCGAATGGTGCCATCGAAGAGTTTAGGTTCCTGAGCGACAAGCGACAGGGCACGGCGATAGGACGGCATTTCGATGTCTTTCAGGTTTTGGTCGTTGAAGGTGATGGTTCCAGAGACGGGGTCGTAGAATCGCTCGAGCAGCGAGATCACCGTGGTCTTGCCGCATCCCGAAGGACCGACAAAGGCTACGAACTGGCCATTTTCGACCGATAGGTTGAGGTTGCGGTAGATGGGGGTATCTCGCGTGGGATATTTGAAGACGACGTCCTTGAACTCGATCCTGGCGCCTGCTTTCTTTTCAGTGGGTGGCAGCGGTGCACCCACGCCATTCAGCTTTGCGCCTTCATCACCGACGGAGCGTGAACCCAGAATGCGATTGGCTGCCGCGGTGGCTTGAGCAATGTTTGGCGAGAGACTCAAGAATTGGCCAGCCCCTTGCGAGCCTTGCACGATTGCGCTGTAGATGAGAAAGAATTGGATGATGTTGTATTCGCGGGTCGCCAGAAGCTGTCCCCCGTACCTGGAAGAACGTTTTGTCAGCTAACGGCGCTTGATCAGGACCACCTTGCAAAAACAAGAGCTCACCAGAACGTCAATGCCATGGCACAGAGTTCGACACTGTCCGAGAGGGCAAATACAACACAGCCATGTGTCGCTCGTCTTGTTGCATCTCGAATCTGCTCGTGCAGGAGATCCGAGTATTTTTGGAGAATCGAGTCTTCCATGGTCAACGACGTGACGGTTCGAAAGGCACCGACCGCTTCCGTCGCAAATTGCGAGCTGTGGGCGAAAACCTTCGCATTCCACTCTTCGAACTGGACCTCGTATTTGATGCGGACAAAAGCGGCAACAATGACGACCGGCATGGCGGAGAAAAAGGTCACCAAGGTCAACTTCCAGCCGAAGTAGAAGGATATAATAATGCACCCAGTCATGTTGAAGAAAGAGATCAAGGGGAAGACGCCGTTCAAGCCGAGCAGTTCGCTGAGGAGTTTGAAGTCCGTGGCCAAACGGGCCATCAATGAACCAGAGGAGTTGCCTTCAGTGTCGAAGTATGAGACGGGATTTCGAAGGAGATTCTGAAAGTGTTCGCGCCGATACACGGACGACACGAGCTGTTTTCATTAGAACCCAATCGGTAATGCTCTGCAGCAAGTTGTTCCCTCTGACTTACCACGGAGAGATGATTGGAGAAGAATCCGAGGAGAAAGTATGACACTGCCATACCCAGTGCGAGTATGAAGAACATCAGGGACCAAAAGTCCCCTCTTTCCTTCAACTTTTGACCCGTAAAGGTGAAAACTTCGATCAGCTGAGCAAAGATCCAACTTTGAAGCGAGAAGGCAGCTGTTTACTCCACGTTAGCTTACCGGTCATCCGTACGGAATGTCGGAGACTCACATCCTGCTCCCATTGCTGCAATAATGATCAAAACGTAAAAAATCCAATAATTTTGCTGTTCATAAAGAATCCGGCCAACGGACATGAAGAATCCGCGATCCTTGTATTTCGTGGTGCTCTCATCGTGTTGATCTGCGGAGACGGTCGTGTCCCCCCTCTCGAGAGGTTCCAGATCAGATGCCTCGATGTTGTCGTTCCTCGGAGGGGCTGTCTCAGCTTCCAGTTGCTGTGCGTGTACGAGGCCCGCGTAAATCCCGTCGGGGATCGAGAGCAGGGTATCATGGTCGCCCTCTTCCATCTTTCGACCGTCACGCATAACAACAATATTGTCGGCCTTGCGAATTGTGGAAAGCCGGTGGGCAATCACAACAGTCGTCCGATTTTTGGACACCTGGTCCAGGGCTTTCTGCACAATCCTTTCTCCTCGAACGTCGATCGAACTAGTGGCTTCATCCAGGATCAGAATGGAAGGCTCACGAATGATACTGCGTGCGATCGCAAGCCGCTGCCGTTGACCGCCACTCAGTTTTATCCCGCTCTCTCCAACTCTTGTTTTATATCCCTATTCGCGTCAGTCATCACCAATGCCATGAACAATGTTGCTCACATCTGGAAGTTGTCGGATGAACTCATCGGCAAAGGCTTCTTGGCAGGCCTTCTCGACTCTTTGCTGCTTTGTCGCATCATCGTCCTTTTCCCACACGGTCCCATTCAGTCCGAATGCAACATTCTTGAAGATGGTATCATTGAACAAGAATGGTTCTTGTTGGACAAGGCCTATTTGAGACCGCCACCACTTCAGACTGGTGTCTCTGATGTCATGGCCACCGATTGACACCATGCCCTGGTTTCGGGGTGATCGCTGCTGGTCACCGTCAGGTTGCTCTGTGGTAGATGTGGCCTCGTCCTTGTCGATATCATCCCTATCCAGTTCATACCAACGCTCCAGCAACGCTACAATAGTGCTCTTGCCCGATCCTGAAGGGCCTACTAGAGCAGTCGTTTGACCTTTCCTAAATCGAGCATTGAAACCTTTCAAGACCTGAACGTCGGGCCGACTGGGGTAGGCAAAGTCCACATTGTCGAATTCGATATCATCATGCGACGACACGTCGGGTTCGGAGGCACCTTCGTACGAGACTCTTGGACCATCGATCATTGAAAAGAACTCAGTCGAAGCGCTGATGGCTTTCGTAATGGCAATGATCGGGGTGGTAAGGACTCCCAAAAGAGCCATGACGATCATGACCGAGAAGAAAACCCTGTTAATAGGTTCAGTGACGTTGTGTCCAGCTTTGGATGGATGACTTACGTGACGACTGTACCGATGCTAGCAATATGCCCTTCCCGATATTGCTTGAGTCCGAACCAAAAAGACAGTGCAAAGCTCGAGTACATGGCAAAAAACCCCGGCGCTACTTGAACACCGTACAGAATGGACATGGCGAGTCCTTGCCTTTGCGACTCTTCGACGGCTGTAAAGTACTTCCTTGTCAGGCTCTTCTCAGCTCCCAGGGAGAAGACGGCGCGGATCGAACTGAAGATTTCCCCTGCTATTGAAGCAGCTTTTGCGTTCGACTTCTCGACCTGGGCCATCCTTTTAATTAAGAAAGGCGTAGTTATGCTGTATACGATGACGACGAAAAGCATAGAGGAGCTTGATACAAGGGTGAGAAGCGCCGAGTAGCGAAAAGCAATGATATAGGCGGTGATGATCAAGGTGACGGCCATGAACAACGAATGGAGCTTGTCGGAAATGCTGATCTGGATGATGTTGGACGAAGCCGTGATAGTGTTGGCGACAGTGCCGGCGGATACTTCGTCGAGCTTCTTGATGGGCTGAGCGAAGAGTGACTGGAGGTAGCTTAGTCGCAACCTGGCAGAAATTCGTAGTCCAGTTACGCGAAAACAGAACTATCACGGTCAGTAATGTCCCTCAACGACAGGATACAGTGGTCGTCCTGTCGAAGAGCTCACCGTCGAGATGTAGGTCAGGATAAACCTGCCGATGAATAAATAGACCAGGTATAGCCTGCCAAAGTCAGCTCATGCTTCGCCTCAGACAACCGACCCCCAGCGCGTACGAATTCTGGCTGACAGCTGATTTGAACCTGCTTTCGGTCACGGTGGAGTTTGGCAGGAAGTAGTCATTGAAATCTTTAACAAGATTCCCAAAAACGATGTTCATAAGTGGAAGTGCCTGGCCGTCGGTCAGTATCGAGAGCTGAACTCACTCAAGACAAGCCCACCGTGCCAGATCCAATAGCGCACAGAGTACTGACTAGAAGGGCGAATCCGTCTCTCCTCGAACGAAAGGACAGTATGCGCTATGTAGTGTCAGCAGACTGCAGAAATTAGAAGGAGTGGATTGACGCACCCAGTAGTTCGAGAGAGGAGGCGTGGCTGTCTTCTCGGGTTCCTCTTTTTCTTTTTCTTTTTCTTTCTCTTTGACAGGGACAGCCATTTCTTCGACAACTTCGGGGCTGGCGACTTTGGCGTCGGCGACAGACGCCCTCTCCTCGACGGCGCTCATTGCGAAGTATGACTGTATTGGTAAGAGGCGCTTCTCCTCAAGCTCTGGCGACAGTGATTCTTTAACGGTTTGCAGTTCGATATATTACCCTGGAGGTTGGAAGAAATAGGACTCGATGTCCTCATAGCCCAACAATCAAGGTTCTCAAGGCGCCATGGCAGATTACTTGCCGCATCAAACAGAACCATGGATGCGACGACTGTGATCCATGTGTGGCAGAATGGATCTAGCTGGTTGACCCAGTTGGAAAGTCGTGGTTTGCAGCTGCCTAAGAAGTTAGTGCAGCAAAAAAGGCCGACCTTGACCCTCCAGTCCTGCTTATAGTTATGGGTCCTCGAGAACATCCATGACAGAAAGAAGAGGAGACGTTGAGAAATTGTGGAAAGGCAGAATTCACGGCTGCCTAGAAAGTTGAAAGCGCGACAGGAAAATGCATGCATATTCGGTAGAGTTCCCCACCGCGACCAGTCAGGAGAAGCTTGAATACGATCACGGATACGAGGGGAAATTTCGCATCTCGGTTAAATGGGCCGCGCGTTTACGAGGTACTAAGTACAAGAAGAAAGACGGGGTTGAACAGGGGTTGCCGGGAGCAGCCTTGCGGTCAGCCTGACGTGTTCAAGGCCCCTTTTACTCGGATAGGCGGGGCAGTTCGACTTGGTGACTCTCTTTAAGCGAACACAACTAGTCCTATTCTGCAGTCAAATCAGAAAATGTATTAGAACGAGCATGTCCTATCAAGGTCCAAGGGATGGATTACATTCAGCCCGAACACTCACAGAAAAACCCCCAGAACGAAAAGTAGTTCGATTCCTCATAAGAATGCCCCAAAAAGGCCAACATACACCTTCTTTTCCTCCCCTCCCACAACGTTTGGTTATCAGTACGGAGTGGTTCCTCTCGGGGCCCCATCACCATGATTCGGTCCAGTTGCCAGTCCCCTGGTCAAATTTCAGGACAATATTTGGAACACTTCCGTCATCGATAAGAGAATCCCTGGCATGACGGCGGGGATACTCCATCCCGGCAGGTAAAGATCGCTTTTTATATTGTGCCTGTGAAGAGAATTCCGTCGCAGAATTACCCCGGAGGAGGCCAGCAGCGAAGATGTTGTTGTTGTTTCCATCCTTCAGGGTCCCCGGGCTTGCCCCATTGGCAACCCCGGCATACGAAGGATATAGTTGACATTGGGTACTTGCTGTAGGCACGAACTGCCAGAGCTGGCAATCCTGGCCGCCGGACACAAGGAAGGCACTGTGGTAGGACTGACAGACTCTTGCACAGTCGTCCGCCGTGGCCGGGGCTGAGGTGAAGCCAAAGATGGGGGTGCCGACAGAATAGACTGGGGTAAACTGGATTCCTGACTGCGAGTTCTGGAATGAGGAACCGCAAGACACATACCAGATGTTGTCTCGATTGTTGTTGATCGTGGCCGGGCCCGTACCAGTTAAGCCATTGTAATACACGCCAACGAAGGCCAACTGATAATTGTTATTGTTGCAGAGACCTAGATCGGCGCCGGGAGCAAGAAGATAGGTTGCGTCGACCACATTTGGAACCGGCTGGCCGGTGAGGAGCCGTGCAGTCCGGACACCGCTACCCACAATCTTGGCTGGGGATTGCCCGCCAGCCAAACCAGACACGCCGCCGGTGTTGACCCTGCTGTAGAGATAACATGTTCTGATCTGCGAAGCCCAGTAGGCTACAAGACAAGTGGCCGTTCCAGCTGCGTTACAGGCGCTGATACAGCTCTCGAGAGAGTAATACTGGCCGCTCGCCGTGGTAACCGTTCCACCGGTGGATCCAGAGCTCATCCAGCATTCAATCTCGTAGACCGCATTTGGGGAGTCGGCTATCGCCACCTTCTGATAATTGTAAGCGCCTGTGGCCACGGGCAATGGCTGACTAGCTACTCCAGGGCTGACGTTGGCCCCTGAGCACAAGGTTCCCGTGACTCCGGCCGCCACTGAAGCAACTGTCACCGATGAGGCCAAGGCTGAATAGTTGGGAGCTGCTGGAGGGGAGTATACGCTACTGGTGCCGATAGTGGACAGAGAGGCGGAAGATGCAACTGCCACAGTCGAAGTTGTCGCCGGAGAGGTTGCCGATGCAGTAGTTGCCGTTGAGACTGTTGTGGCCTGCACAGCAGTGGTTGTGGTCGCCGGAGAAGCTGTAGAAGAGGCTGTGAATGTCGCTGATGAGGAACCTACAGAAAAAGAAGTCAGTAAACTTGAGGTGCCGGTGGCAACTGACGATGCACTAGAGACAGTGGTAGTTATAAAAGAAGGAGTGGTAGTACTAATTTGTCCCGTTGAGCTCGTCGTCGAGGCGCTTGACACTGTCGAACTTGAGGCGGTCGAGCCGGCGACGCTGCTGCCTGTTGAACTTGTTGCGGCAACTGGTGTGGTGACGGTGGTAGCGTATGAGCCTGTCGAGCTCGTAACAGCACCGTTCGAAGAGGAGAGAGTAGTAGACGCCGCTGGGCTTGCCGTGGAGGCACTAGAGACCGTCGTGCTCGTCGGTGCAGCCGACGTAGTGGATACCGTTGGCCCCGTCGAGCTTGTTGTAGAACTCGAGGCAGTGCTAGTGGTTACTACAGTGGATGTCCCTGCGGCAGAGGTGGAAATCGTCGAGCTGGAACCGGGCGAAGTCGTGGCCACTGTGCTTGAGACTGTGGAAGTACTAGGGCCTGTCGAGCTTGTGCTAGGAGAAACCGCTGAGCTCGTGGTTGAGCTCGCTACGGAAGAGCTTGTCGATGAGCTATTAATGATGGTAGTCGGCCCCGAGCTAGCACTCGAGGTTGTGGTGCTAGCTAAACTCGAACTAGTCGGCGAGCCGGTACTGACTGAACTAAGTACTGATGAGCCCGAGGTACCCGTGGAGCTCGCGCTGGCGGAGCTTGACGTCTGACCTCCTGAGCTTGCGCTTGATGGAGAGGCGGAGGAACTCGTCGTCGTACTCGGCCCTGTTAACGTTGTCGAAGTCAGCCCTGTGGAACTCGTCGTCGCTGCACCGGGAGAGATCGTTGAACCCAGCGTTGGGGGCGAAGAAGAGGACATCGACATGGTAACTTGGGTGACAGCAGCGGTTGAGGTGGTTCCCAGAGAGGCTGCGGTCGTCGCAGAAGATGAGGAAGCTGGATCAAAAGACGAAGTTAGTCACTACTCAGAAGAAGGATTAAGCGAGAAGCAAGTCTTCAAGGTACAGTCCTCTCGTAACGTTTTACACCTGTGTGATCTGCGATTGCGGCAAATCATCATTTTTGTACCGACTCTGGCAAATACCTGCGAAGTTTTGGTGCAAAACGGATCTCGAGACATAGATAATCACACAAGAGTTAGTCGTGGAGATCTAAGGCAAGGGAGTGCTTTCCGGGGGCCTCCACAAGAAGATTTGGTATTGAGGGGCCTTGATAGTTGCCTCACAGAGCTCCGACAATCATCACTCCAGACAAGCTGCTAGCACGAATAGAACTCGATGGAGAAAACGGAAAACAAACGAGGCCTGGGAATGATGTGACATACCCAACGATGAGGAGGCTGCAGAGCTGAACGACGACGGGGCCAAAGTCGACGAGTTGGACTCCGAAGCAGCAGTACTGCGTGAAGTTGAGGTGGAGCTGCTCGAGATTGGCGGTGCTGATGATGTGGCTGTGCTAGCACCAGTTGAAATCGACATGATCGAGGTGGCAGCAGAACTTGATGTTGTAGCACCTGAAGGACTGCTCAGTATCGTAGAACCTGCGGACTTTGTGCTCGAAGCTGAAGTCGAAGAAACTGTAGTCGAAGGTATTGCTACCGAGGATGTAGTGAATGAACTGGCAAGATCTGACGTGGTGCCACTCAAGATAAGGGAGGTCGAAGAGAAGGCCATGCTTGATGTGGTGGCGGCGCCTGTCGATAGTGCAGTCGTACCACCAGCCACGCTGCTCGAAGTACCCGAGGCTAGGGGGGACCAGAAGAAAGCACAAAAGGAGTAGAAGCACTGGTGGAAGAGACAATGAAAGACGTACCAGAATTTTGAGTAGAGCTAGCACTAGTTGTGCCGCCAATAGCATTGGATGTGGAGACGCTGCTAGATCTAGAGGATGCTGTAATGGAAGTTTGAGTGGTTCCTTGTCCCGTTGTCGGCACAGCGGTGGTCACCAGGGGACTTGTGGTCGTAGAATTTGGGCCTGGGGTAGTCGTGGTAGCAGCACTAGTCGTTGTGGGTGAGGGGGTAGCGACTGTTGTTGTCGCTGCGCTTGTTGACGAGGAAGGCCCAGCTGCCAACATTGAGGACGACGTAATTGCTGCTATAGAGCTGCTGCTTGGGGACAAGGATGTTGTGCTTGGACTGGGGACAAAAGTGGATGAAGAAGGAGGGGAAGAAACTATACCTGCTGAAGTCGTCGAGCCTGGATTGCTCGTATTCTGGGATGCGGCGGAGGAAGGCGATGCTGAGCTGCTCGGGCTTGTACTTTGAATGCCTGGGGGCGTAGTGCTTGATCCACTCGCAGGTCCACTGGTAGCCCCAGTTGAGGAAATTGCCGGGGAAAAGGTGGTACCAACTGGTGTCGTCGAAGGCGCAGCAGACGTGCTGCTGGATTGCGGAAGAACAGCACTGGGGGAGCTTGACCGTGTGGTGAGAATACTCGACGAGCTTGACTGTGCAGGGGTTATACTTGTCGAGCCTGATTGTACGGGCGCTACGCTTATCGAGCTTGACTGTGCAGGCGCTGCGCTTGTCGAGCTTGACTGTGGAGGGACCACATTTGAAGAGCTTGTCGCTATCGTGGGAGACAACACAGGACCAGTAGAGATGGGCGCGGTAGTTACGGGTGGCGAACTCGAAGTCGGGACCATGGTCGGCTGGGTAGTCTGTGGCGTGAAGCTGGTGACGACTAGAGTTGAGCTCGAGGAAGGAGACGGTGTCGGTGATGATTCCGTCGAGCTTTGATCGCTTGAGGATGTCGGTTCAGCAGTTGTCGTGGTCAACGTAGGACTCTCCATGGTAGCTGTTGTAGTCACTTCGGAGGTCGTGGTCGCCACATCCGTCGAAGTTGCAGTGCTAGAAGAAATACTCGTTGACGAGGTAGTCGCGTCAGGATCCCTATACGGCACCGGGCAAGCGGCGGCCACAATGCCACCCAAAGTGACATTATAGCAATCAGGCCGCGGGGGACTCGGGAAACCAGCCCAAACTTTGTTGTCGCCGCAGCGGTAGAAGGTAGCAGCTCCTCGGTCGGTTGAACCCCAATGTAGTATGCCGTCAACAAACGAGAACACCGTGGTGACGTTGTTGGGATCGGGATCAGGGGTCATCAAGGCGTAGGAGTCGGTAGTGTTCCGGCCGACCACATCGTTACCATCTGTGAGTTGCCCGTGTTGCAGATAATATCTGACGGCAACGTCGCATGCACCGCTAGAGCCCCCATCATCGCCCGAAAGCAGTTCGGATGCCTGGCTTCCCGCAGCCTGTCTTTTCACCTTTGCCCCGCCTACACCACCAACTGCAACACCAACGATGACGGCGGACGATGCCGGGAGGTCAGTTACAGTTCCAGACGGCAGACCCTCGCCGAGAACGAGCGGTGGCTGCGTAATTGGCACTAGGATTGTGTTCCCTTGCGCGTCGACCGACGTAGAAGTTAGGACCGGTGGTGGAGTTGGTGTGATAACGGGAGGAGGAATAGGAGTGAATACTGTTGTGGAAGTTGTTGAGATGCCCAAAGAAGTCGTGCTTGACGCCGACGTGGGAGTTAACGAGACGGACGTCGTGGGCGATGAAGCCGAAGTCGCACTTGTGGTGACCGGACCAACACTCACGCTGCTAGAGGGGGTGCTAGATGGGGTCGCAGACATAGTTGAAGGGACAGCGCTCGTGACAGTAGAGATGATGGTCGTGGTGATGTATGTGTTTGTAATGTACGTTGTTGGAGCATTTTGAATCGTAACCGTGTCACCGTTGCCAAAGAGATTCACAATCTGCGAAGCTGACTGGAAAAAAGAACTGTAGTATGCTGCTTGCAAAACAACAACGCTGGTGACGGATGGCACTGGACAGGGACCGCTGGGTCCGTAGGTGACCGTGGCCAAAGCCTGCGCGTTCGCTGCTGCAAATTGCAGAGCTAGGGAGGGTAAAAGCAGTGACGATAATGGCCACATGGCGGGCCACCCTGTTGCTTTCGTTTTATTTTTCCGTACTCTGAGCACACAAGACTGAACAAAGGATTGAGAAAAATCGGAGGACTGCAGAACTCCAACCCAAACGAGCGACTGTCAATCACGAAAAGGTGAAAGAAGAATTGCAGCGGTGGTTGGTTTTTGAGGGATCACGCCCTAGGAGACGCGACATCACAACAACAAAACCAGAATGCTGCATTCCAACGAGACTCCCCATCGACCACGCTGCACGGACCTCTGTTTGTGGGAAGCGAGCAATCAAGGCATTTCCATGTGGAATGAGGGAGCTCTCACCCTTGAGAATATGCTGAGATGAGCTTCTCTGGTGCATTGTTCAGCGAGTGGAGGTGCCGCCACTGGGCCATTCTGGACTGGATGGAATGTCGGGAAATGCTTTAAGTCCTGTATTCCAGAACAGATTCCGATGCCCTCCTGGAAACGCAGCGAAATTGGCCCAAAGAACCGACTAGTGCGTGCTCGTCATTTCAGCCCATACGTGATACAAAACTTCAGTACTGATCAACAAACAGGAATGATGAACGGAAGCTGGGACGGTGGACTTGAGAGGGCCATCAAGGAGAAGGGATTGGGCACTTATCCTGGTAAGGCCTCCGCGATATCCGGCGCTGTTTTGCTTGACTTTCTCCAGTTGACATGCTATTTACATGACCATGGGCAGATAGACAGGGCTCAGTCCCATCTTCAACCCATCTGGAGAGAGGGTTTTGTGAAAAGCATGTCTGGAGTGTCGAGTGGGTGTGAGTGAGGAGGGAACTGGGGGCAGGGGTGTCTACAGTAGTTCCTTGGTATTTCGCTTGATCGAATTAGAGTCTGTGCGCTATACCTTTTTTGGTTTCCTGGGCCATTGACGTCATCTCCTCTTTAATCCCGGATTCTGAGCTTCTCAAGCTTGATATGCATGCGCGACAATGGCTCGAGGGCCCCCCAATCGACTCGCACCAGCGGGACTCAACTCGAGGCACCTTTCCTTGATTTTCACCTCCTACTCTTTCCGCGAACTGCCAGATCCAACAGGAGTCTTGTCATTCTTTTCTCGTCGAACAATCCTACGCTCCTAGAAGCACGTCTCTCGTTTCGTTCCTCCTGCGCCTGTCTGCGATCGCGTGCTCCTGTTCTGTTGCGGTTATTCTTTTGGGAGGTGCTGCTGGCCAGGGCATACGTCGTGCGAACAGAATACTTTCACTATACAAAGCTCACTGTCCGTACAGGCTTCTGGACCTAAATTGCTCGCATCGCTAATAACGAAATTCAGCTATCACGGTTAGTGCTGGCCCCGCAACCATGGCTCTGCGCGTCATCCTAGCGACTTCTGTCCTCCTCCTTCAAGCGAGTGCGGTGCCGACCCAAGTTTCTCTGGAAGAACAAGCGTTGATTACACCTGCGCCTACTCGCACACTTGCAGTATATGGATCATACGCAGGAGCAAGGCGAAACATCATTAGTGATCTGGAGTCGGAGCTGGATTCATACGTGAACTCCGTGTTCAGCGAGCTGGGGACGGCTATTCCCTCATACGTTTCGAATGGACTGCTACCCAATCTACAGAATCTACCCACGGGCAGTGCTGTTATGAGCTCAGTGGGAGTGAGCAGCTCGGATCTGGCTGCCACTCCTACGCAGGTATTGAACATCCCGGGTTATGGCAATTGGACATCCTCTGGTTGGAACCTGCGAATTCATGGGAATGTCTTTAAACAACCAAACATTTCCAATGATACGGTGGACCGCCTCGCCAACTTTTTCCTCATCGGCACGAGCGTGGAGGATCTTCCTCCTTCACAACAGGCCCAGGCCCGCAACCTCACAAGAGAGATCTACGTGGTTCAGCAAGGAAATCAAACGGTCACAATGGACATTCTACCTGGTCCCGAATTTGGTACCAATGGACAGCCAGGAGGAGGCGGTGGCGTAACCCCAGCCGGCGGAGAGCAGGTCGTCACACTTCCCAACCCAACCACTCCGGAGGGCGACTTTGACGCTTTCGTTCCAATAGACAACAGCTCGTTTACATTGACTCCGGGGACTGGTGAAATTCCCCCACAAAGATTAAATGTCTACACCCAGGGAACTGACACGGGGAATGCGACATCGTACCTTGTCTCTGACCAAGGCCTAACCATCATCTCCGATATTGATGACATATTGCGCGTTACGAAGATCTACGAGCCCAAGCAAGGATTGCTTAATTCTTTCGCCCGTCCGTTCACCCCATGGATGAACATGCCAGACATTTATCGGAACTGGTCCGTGAGCCTACCCAACATGCATTTTCATTACCTCACAACCACCCCGGAGCAAGTCACTCGCAATTACATGCAATTCATCTACGACACTTATCCAGGTCAGTAATCTTCGCCCGCGTCCGTTGTTTGTTGTCTGACGTGTCCATCTAGGTGGTAGCTTTGATACCCGACCGCTCAACTTCAGCGACGTCTCCGCCACCCTATCCATCAGAAAATACCTGCTCGACAGGATCTTCCAGACCTTCCCAAATCGAAAATTTATCCTAGTTGCCGATACAAGCAACTCTGACGTCATGCGTGATTACCCTGAAATGGCCACTCAATACCCAGGTCAAGTCCAATGCATTTTTCTACGCAACACGTCCGCCACAGACCCAGGAGATAAATTTCCTTACAACACGGAGGGCTTCAAAAACCTCAGCCAGCAGAGTTATATGTTCTTCAAGGTGCCGGATGACTTGAGAGGGCTTGATATTGTAAATGGACAGTGTCTGAATGCGACTATTCCGCAGAATCTGACGTTTGGGTATCAAGGGTTGCCGTTTGGGTTGTCTACAGGTGATGGACAGAGCGGAGCTAGCCAACTGTTGGGTGGCGGTACTTTGCTTGAGAGGGTTGGTTCGGTGCTGTTGCTTGTACTTTGTGTGATTTCTGTCCATGTCCTATGATGCTGACGAAGTGACGGTGTTATTGATATGGCATTTTACGATGGAAAGCGAGGAAGAAGCGCAAGGCTATCTTGATACCCTATAAAGCATTTGTAACAGAGGATGCCTGTTCCTTTCTCTCCCCGGCCTCCAGTAGCAATTCCGCAGCCCTTTGCGATGCAGGATTCGTCGCACGAGGTAATTGATGAAATATGTGGGTTGCAGCGAGGCGTCGTACCTTCTATTCCTTGGACGCAGGCCAGTTTTCTATTCTCTTCCCACAACCTAAGGTTATTTCCGAGTCGACAACACTTTAGTCTGCGTTTGCCATAAAGAAGAACCTATTAAGAGACCGATTTAAGCCAAAATGAACGTTCTGTCCCGTTATTCTTACCTAAGCTACTGTACCACCAATATTGGATACACGCAGTGTTTTCAGAACAATGTTAACCTACTTGGGGCTGTTCTGGGTATGTCGGTGTGGTAACTAGGTTTACTGACTGCCCTGATGGACATACTTCGTAGAGTTCGTGAATCTCAGAGCCATCCAACGGGCGGTTCCCTACGAGAGCTTTTCGTAGCTCAATTATAAGGGTTTCCTTGAGACCACGCAATTTGTCAAATCTTTCAACCAGTGGAAGCAGCTTCGGCCATCCATGATTTCGGTTGCGCCTGAGACTGTTTGGAGTATGAACATTCGGACCTCTTGGAGCTTTTTCTTCAACGACATCGATAATAAAGCCTCCAACAGCCCGTAATCGATCATCGATGAAGAATCCGTAGTCTTCTCCTTCCATCATCGGACCGTGTTCACCAGCGTAATACTAAATAAGTCTGTTAATCATTCGATTAGGTATGTCGTCGATCTAATTTGGAAAATCTAGTACCTAAATAGGTGTCCTGTACGGGTCATTGTGAAGATCTGTCCTCCGAGGTTCGAGTAGTGAGAGAATGGCGAAACTCCTCTTACGTTGTATTGACCACATAGTTGCTTGATGATATATCTCTCGGTAGCTGGGCTTGTAATTGACTTTTAGCACTTCGTCCCCAGTCTAAGAGAAGTGCTTGAAAAGACTCAGTACTCCGTAGATCCGATCCCTTGGATGCGAAGTCCTCAGCGACCCGCATTGAAAAGTAAGTTTAGTCAGCGACAACCTCTGACTGTTTGATCTCGCAAATTGAAAGTCAATCTACGCCATCCTCATCTCGGTAAAGAACTCAATATTCTCATAGAGGGGCTTTTCTTTCTCTAAGAAGATTCGATATGTGTAATGAGTACTCTTAGATACGTCTACCATCTAAGAAAAAGAGTCCCATGATGTTTAGAACGGACCACATCGAACCTTTATGGATTACGCAAGAAGCACTTCCTATAAGCCCTAAAGACGTGTGATCCATGGTAGCGCAAAAAGCTTTCCTAGTGAGTTTGAGATCTCCCCATGTGTAAGATGCTGCGTTGCAGGAGGAACTACAGTAGATATGTGTGGAGAAGATCCCGCCTACTAGGTTATCATTGTCTTTAGCCGGGAAAACAAGTAGAAAACGTATTGTTTCACCTTTTACTGGACAATATCATAATATATAGGTCTTGTTGATATGGTGAACGGTTGATCTCGACGTTGGCATAGCAATTCCGTTCTCTTGGTTAGCTCTCGAGAATGGTTATTATTGTCCTGGACTAATATTAATACCGCCAGCACACGATCACCGAATGAGCCACTGGGCTGTGTGCAGGCGCAGCCCAGGTCTAGCTGAGGGGTGGTAGTGCATGTTGAGATATAACGGCCGGCGATTGCTTTCAATCCGGTTTATCCTCCAAAGGCAATTGCTTTGTGTCGTCAAGAAAGGACATGGAAAGTCTGGCCAAGTCTGGCGTAGCCTGTGGCTAGCGGTCCGACTCTCGAAATCTGGGAGTAGCTGCCCGGGATTTTGGCCCCGCAAACGGTAAGTCTTCGGGGCGACCTCAGGGCGGCACTACCTCTTCCGAATCGGGGTCGAGTTCAGAGCTATTTGCTCGTCTTAGCGTTGTATTGGGTTCCTCAGCCTTGTGTTGACTTCCGTAGATCTCCCCCTCTAAATATTCGATTCTCTTTTGACACGGCTATTTCGTAAGAGCGAGAGATCATGAATTGACGACTGTTCTCCGTCACTGCTGTCTTAGCGACCGTCCCAACGAGCAACCGCGCTCACCAAAGCTTGACGCTCATGTTGGGGATTGGACATCATTCCGCGTCGCCCTTGCCGTCTCTCGCCCAGCAACTGACTAACCCACTGGCATCTGCCATTCATGAGAGGGCCATCATCAAGCCCCAGAAACAGTAAGCCGGTCTCTAGTTTCAAGTCGCCGCCTCCAGAATGCCAGCTAGCCATCCTCTTCACAATCAAGTCGCCTCCGCCCTTCAAACACGCCATGGTATCCCCGTAAACCCGCAATGGCTGAATACATTCCTCACGTCGCGCGGGCCCAATCCGCCACCGCTTCCGGCCCTTATATCCACGGCCCACTTCCGTATTCTCGCAAGCGACATCACGACGACCATCGCTCCGACAAACGCGGCAGAAGCTTTCCCCGAAGGAGTTATCGACGTGAATGTCAAAGAACGACGACTCCAAGGCACAGTGATCGCCCAAGTCCTGGATGTTGTAGACGTGGGCAGCAGCAAGTGGAGCCAAGTCGAAGCCATTGAGCGGGTCGAACGGGGCGAGGAGGTGCGCGGACGAGAAGTCATCCGGACCGTGGACGGCACGGGTAACTACAACGAGGGCGATGCGGGCGCCAATGGTGCTAGTGCACCACTGACCGGTGCAAGCACAAACGGCACCATTACGAATTCTTTGTTCGCAAATACGAAACTCAGCGCTGGCCCGCACAAACTCCTTCTCCAAGACGCCCGTGGCACGAAAGTGCCGGCCTTCGAGCTGGTGAAGATTGCGAAGATTGGGCTCTCTACTTCTGCGTCTGCTTCCCTTCCAGCTTCGGCTCGACACGTCCCTGAAGACCCGGGCATGTTCATCGGATGCAAATTACTTCTGAGGCCCGACACCGTTGTGAGGAGAGGAATGGTCATGTTGACGCCGGATAATTGTGTTGTGCTGGGTGGGAAAATCGAGGCTTGGGATAAGAAATGGAAGGAGGAGAGAAAGCAAAGATTGACCGCATTAGTGAGGGAGGAGAATGCTACCGCCCCCGGCTAGAGAAAGTGCGAGCGAGGAAGGGGAAACTCAACAGGAAAAGCACTCGAAACGGATCTCACAAAAGGCATTCACGTTGTCTAGGCCAACAGGGCAAGGGCCATACCCTTTAAAAACCAGGCATATGAAGTTCGAGCATATCCTCACGAAACCGCAGCAGCAATCCCCAACCTCCACGGCGCAAGCATCTTCGCCTTAAGAAAATCCTCCGCCCTGCCCGTTCCTTCGTACGCTCTTGCCAAATCCTCCGTGGTCAGATTCCCACCGGGCGGAATCTGTCTTTCAGCATTGAGCACCGCCATCTCTGCGGGATAAGAGCCGTCTGCCCCATTGCCGACAGCTTGTGCGAGTTCAAGCCAGCCTTGCGGTTGCCCTGGCGCAAGCATGATCCCATTAAGAGCATCTGCAACCACTGCAACTTGATCCACTTGATCGGCGGTCGGTTTTCGAGGCCGGCACCCAACAATGCCAGCTAGGACTTTACTGACGCGGATCTTGTCTAGTACTCCGATCTCATCCCCGCGCCTCAATGCTTTCAGATCTTCCTCCACCGCTTCTAGCACGTCCTCATCGTTGTCTAATAGTCCAGTGACGGCGAGCAAAACGACGGCTTGAACATGTCCTGGGTGGTTCTCGATCACATCAAATAGTTGGGATCTCGCCGCCTCCTTCTCCTCCGTACCACCCTTCGCCCACAGGACCTGGGCCAGCATGCAAACGACGTCTGGGTCTCGATCACATTCCTGCAGCGCCACTTCGAACATTTTAATCGAGTTCTCAATCTGCTTCAGATGACTCTGTGCAAGACCCGCCGTGATATGTGCTGAAAGTCGCCATTTTCGGCGAGCTTCTGCATATTCCGGGCCAAGGTCATCAGGTTCACCAGACAGATCGAGTGCAGTCTCGGCGTTTGAAACTGCTTCTTCATATTCACTGCACCCCAGCTGTGCACGAGCTAGATCCGCTTTTGCCTGCGCGAACCTGACCAGATATTCAGTCGATTCAGATTTTTCATACTCGGCTTCTGCGGCGTCGCAGACTTCTTGCAAGGCTTCGACGCTCGTAGAATAGTCACCCGCTCGCTCCGCAAAGAGAGCCATTAGATGAGTCGCAGTCATATCACTCGGCTCTTGGGCATGATATTGTCGCATAGCAAAGAGTGGCTTCAACAAAGCAGTGACTTCCTCGGACCGGGAAGGATCCTGGAGCAGATGGTCGAACGCTGAAAGTGCATAATGGCGTTTTGCAGGGAGGACATAGGAGTCAGCAATCTCGAAAGCATGCATGAATAGACCCCTCGCCTCATTAAGGCTTCCAGACAACATCGCCAGCAATCCCTGACCGATCCACGCCTCGGCATATTCTGGATCCTCCGATTGTGCCCGCGTGAAAGCTTCATTGGCAAGCTGATGATCATTGTTCATCAGATATAGCACCCCAAGATTCGTCCACGTCCAGGCACTATTCTCGTTCAAATGCAGACTTCTCACAAACGAATGCTGCGAGACCTTCGGGCTAAGCGTCATAGTCACTACGCCCAGTGCGTTCCAGAAGTCGGAGTTGCCAGCTTCCAGCTCGATGGCTCGTTTGAAGCATGCCATTGACGCTTTGAGGAACCTACGGGGTTTCTTGTCTTTCAATCCGAGGGATGCGCCGGCCGAAATATAAGCTCGGTGTTCTGCCCAGCCGAGATTGTACCACGAAACAGCTTGGGCGAGTTGATCGGACGAGGCGGCGTGGATGGCGCGTTTTTGAGCCAGGATTGCAGCCATGAGATACTTGTCAGCTTTGTCCGAAGGAGTTGTTGGGCCGTCGTCGCCAGCGGCTGTGAGGAATTTAAGGCTGGCTTTGTCGATTTCCTCGAGAGTGTTGAAATCGTCTTGAAGGGATATTTGCAGCAAATCGGATATCGTCTGAACGTCTGCTGAGGCTGTGTACAATTTGACATGGCCAAGGACGGAGCAAGCATCGCCAACAGATTTCCATAAATTAAATACATCTGTCCCTTGCCCTGCGATCTGGATCGCCAACTCAATTGCAGAGGCAGCAAGTTTTGTGGCCTCGCCAAACATACCCAGCGCAACTTTTGCCCAACCATTCTCAGATATCGTCTGGAGCAAGGCGATAAGCACTCCAAATTCCCTCGGTTTCAGAAGAAGGATATCCCTGTATGCAGCAATGGCCTCATCAAATAGCCCCATTTCTCGCTGAACATTAGCAAGCATATACTTTGCGAACCAGGTCTCTGCGGGCGACAGACCATGGTCGATACTCTCAGCTTTGGCAAACGCCCGCGTAGCAGCAACATGCCGACCTGCATTGTGATAGCTCTCACCGAGTCCCACCCAGGAGTGGTAATCATCTGGTGTAATCCTCAGTGCATGCTGGAAAGAAACAATCGCCTGCAGATAATGGTGTTTGTTCATTTGCACCACGCCCAATGCTGTGAATGGCCAACTGTGAGCTTTCTTCTTTGAACCTGGAGCTGGCCTGGCTTTTCCTGACGTGGCAACACGTTGAGCGACCAGTTCCACAAGATCCCATTCTGCATTATCGGCAAAGGTCTTTGCAAGTCGGTGGGCGGCTTCGAGTTCCGAGGTGGAGAGTTCAAATGCCTTTTGCAAGGCAACGCGGGCTCGCGTTTTGCTTTTGCCGTAGTCTTGGAAGTAGATGCCCAAGAGAGTATATGCGGGTGCGTAATTGGGGTCGGCCTTGATGGAGGCGATGAGAAATTGATAGGGCCCAGACTTGTCCTTCCGCGCAGCTGCGGAAGTGTCGATGTGCCAGTAACAGTACGCGATTCGGTAGAGCGTGACTGATTTCATGGTCAAGTCCTGTTGCCTTTCCGATTCAATAGCTGATAACGCCTGCTGGAGCCCTTCCAGCCCTTCATGAAGTTGGCCGCTGTGAGCCCGGCACCATGCAAGCTCGATCTTGATCCTGGTATTATCTGGATCGCGTTCAGCTGCTTGGTGGAAGAACTTGACTGCCTCCGCATAATCTTCGTCGTCCTCGTATATCAATCCGGCACCTAGCAAAGCAGCAGTGAGCTTGGGCTTCCGCCGCAGAATGTCTTCAAACAATGCTTTGGCTTCGGGATGATGTCGTGGTGACTGAAATGTGATCAAAGCATTTGCGAGGATGAGATTGACGCCGTCGAGACTGTTTTGGAGGTCTATAGCATAACGTCGTTGGGCATCTAAGTGCAGTTTCTGAGCCTTTCGTGCAATATCCACAGTGCTCTCCCACTCTTTTAAGCGGAGGTAGACATATGCCATGATTCGATGGCCAAGCAGAGACTCTGGACAACGTTCAAGGCCTTCATTCATTAGGATGAGCTGGTCTGCTTCGCTCAGCCTCTGGGGCGTCTCTTCCCCCTCCTTCTCTTCAACTGGTAGCTGCGGAAATGGCGAGGCGTCACTGTCGAGAAAGCCACGGAGGACCTTGCTCAAGCCGTCATCTTGAAAATAGCCGATGTAATCGCGAAAGATGTTAACGTCCCATTCTTGCAGGTCTTCGGCATCAACCCACTCGAGGGCGACTTTCCAAGCTAAGAGAAAAGGGTGTTTGATGATGACCATGCCGTTCGCCATATTCAAAACCCTGTCCCGCTGGTCTGGCTTGGACTCCTGCGGCAAGACGAGTAAATTATCGAACATACGCTGGAACAATTTCTGCTCGAGATCATGACGAGCATCATCATCCCTTGTCCAGTCAATGAGAGCGGCGTACTTTTCCTCGACTTGGAATTTGCTTATTGCCTCGAATTTAACTTGTCGAGTCACCTGGTCAATCTTTGCCCCGAGACGTGTTCTTCTTTCTCCGATCTGCGTGTTGATCCACTCCTTCTCTTCGGCTTCTGCCGACTCCAGAATGCGCTGGTAAGCCAAACTCGGTTGTAACACACGGCCTTCAAGAGTCGGGTAGAGGGTTGAGGTCGGTAGAATGAGCTCGAGAGCCCGTCGGTATTGTGATCGGCTGCCATGCTTCTTTGCAAACAGCTCGTATTTGTCGATAACGTTCTGGCACTGCGCTTTGTCGTCTTTTTGAGCATATATCTCTGCCAACTTGAAGACCGTATCATGATATTGGTCCAATTTGGCCTTCGCTTGCTTCTCATACAGATTCACTAACCCCTTGTAGGCTTGGACATCATCGGGCTTGACGGCGGCAGCTTTGCGCAAGGCGTTTTCCGCAGCTTCTACATCTCCAAGCTTCTCTCTTGCGAATCCGAGGAAGAGGAAGGCGGTGTGGTTCTTGTCATCTTGTTTCAGCAAATCTTCGGCTTGCTCAGCGGCTTTAGCGAACTGACTGGCGTCCAAAGAAGCCTTGACCGCCTTCAACGCAGCCTTGGACGAAGCCATTTGCAATTATTTAGCGAATCAAGGCTCTTCCCCGCGGCGGATGATGAGGAAACAATTCGTCTCGCAGCAGTTGAGTGCTGAGTGAAGGCTCTGTCCCGGCCAACGTACATTGCGCTTCCTCTCTCACTTCAGACTGGATTTCTCTAACACAGTGTTGTCCCTTTCCAACACTCCCATATCGCTGAATCTGCCCGAGAGGAGAGCCCTCTTGAATTGACTATCCACAAATGGGATCGGAACAAAAAAGAGGACAGGTGAAATTATGATAATTGTCACGTGTTGAGAGTGACGTCTCTTGAATTGTGCTCCGCCGAACTTTGCTACGGAAAAGCATTGTCTAAATATCCGTATTTTGTCTCCATCTGACCCACTGCCCAAGCTGCAATCCTTTTAGAAGCCAAATTATTCTGTGAAGTTGATGCATAAATCCCGAGCCACTGGTGGTCGACGCGAATAACCCTTTTGAGACCGCTAAAGGTTTCACAGACCGGGAAAATCTTCCACTGGTTGCCTCTCCGCTTTGTTTTATGGCGATATCAGAAGTCTGATACAGCCCAGAGACCTCTCTTCTCGAACTTAGTCCCTTTATTGTTCAACCAGTCATGAATCAACTGGTTCACGTGCGCGAGCAGAACGCTATCGGTCTATTACGAGGAAGATCAATTGTTGCCCTTACTCTGCTACCTCCAGTCGCTGTCCATTGTGATCTGATGTCCAGAGGGTAAGTAATGACGAGAGACCTCTGAGATCAGGAACATCAGCTGGTAGGTAGGAATGACGAGGCGAGTTAGAATCAAGCAATCAATTTTAACGAATGCGTCTTTGTTTGCTGCTCACAATTTCAACGCTGTGCCGCAATCAGGCATGGTTGGCCTTCTACCTGAGCAGGTTTTCGGAAACATTTAAGACACCAAACCTTTAGGTTGATAGTCACAATATGAGGTCGGAGAGTTTTCCCATATCTATCCGATTCCGCCTGCGGAGAGTACCTGAAGTTGTCGAGTTAGAGGACATTTAGATCGAAGGGATATATAAAGATGCGATCAGCTTCCCTCATACACCTAGACGCTCACGATTTCCTAACCCTTCGAGTATCCAGATTCCCTGGGGAGCTCATCGAAGTACACACATCTTTTCCCTCTGTTCTCACTGCTGAAAATACAACATGGATCCCGGGCAGTTCGACAAGATGTTTTCTCAAGCCGACTCTATCATGGGGTTGTTCGCAGACATACTGCTCCAGCATGCCAGCTTTCCCTCGGACAAAACCCAACTCGTTGTCCTTGACCAGGCGTGCGGAAGCGGTGTTGTCTCCTCCCACATCATGTCGAAGCTCTCCCCAGAAGCGCAGTCCAGTCTTGACCTCACATGCGCCGACATTTCCGATGCAATGGTATCAAACGTAACCAGGCGCATCAATGCCTCGGGCTGGCCCAACGTGTCCGCGGTAAAAGCTGATGCTATGGTCCGCTATGGCGCTCCTTTAACTATGTTTGTCCAGCACTGACAGGAAGATTGGCAGGACACTAAATTTCACACTGCTAAATTTACGCATATCTTCTTCAACTTCGGCCCGCAAATCCTATCCAATCCCCTCGCCGGCATTAGGGAGTGTCATCGCATTCTCCAGCCGGGTGGGACACTGTGCTTGAGTACGTGGCAAGAAGTCCCATGGTTCAGAGATTACCGTGCAGGAATTGCAAGGGATCCCTCATTGCCGCCGTTCCCTTCGGATGAGCAACTTCGACATACATTCACCGAGACACCAGAACGGTGGGATAACGTCGAAGACGTCAGGGCACATCTCGAAGAATGTGGATTTCATGATGTCAAACTTCAAGTCGTGGAGAACACCACGAAGATGGAGGTTGCAGAAGTCGAGGCCATGTTGCCATTCTCGCTGGACATGATGATCGAGAAGTTCTGGAAGAAGGAGGGATTGGAACAGGTCAAGGGGCCAGCACGGCGAGCGGTCCTGGATTACGTCAAAGAGAAGTATTCGTCCGGCCCGGTTGTGTGGAAGTGGATCGGTATCGTTGCCAGCGGGCGGAAAGACTGATGGCCCTCACCTGATATTCCCCAGGACAGGGAGTTTTCAAAAGGAGGCAGCCAGAAATTATGTAGCCAGTCCAGCCAACATACCAAATATTGGTTTCATTGTGGGCACTTCTGCACTGCCAGCCAGCACATCCGGCGTCGGGCAGGAGTTGTTGATATAGCAGCTACAGTGTCAAAGATGAAGCCGTCGGTACGCCACCTGATGCATTCAGACTCCTATGTCCCAAACTCTCTCGCACATGAGCACCAGTCGCTCTGGGCTAATTGTCAAGTTAACATCCTTCATACGTCTGCATCCATCTACATACGCATATATGCAAGTAAACAATGTGGCGTCAGTCTAGTGAGTGAATTGGTCTAGACCTCCGGTGGTTCGTTCAGAGCAGCCTAACACTCTTCTCCAGCTGTTTTTTTTAAATAGTTGTCTACTACTAATATACTGGGAGCAAGTAAACCAAATCGTGCGGCTACGATACCATGCTTAAGCAAACTCTACTCGAACAATCCTAGTGAGAGCCACCCGTTCTGTCCATAATCTGAAAGCAACATCCCTCCTCCAATTGAATTCCTTTGGACCCAGCACCCTCAAGCACTAGTATTATCCATCCAGGCTCCAATGATCTCTATGCCGCCGATTTCTATGCGGGCATGAAATGGGATCATTGCAACACCAGGTACCGTCCGAATGATTGCTCAGACAAAGGTGAACGCCGGTTTTGCCACTCAGGTATGATCCACAAAGGTCACATTGCTGGCGACGATGCTCCCAATCTCTTCCTGACCCACAACGAATGTATCTTTCATCACATTGCTCCCAGGAAGCTCTGAAGTTCCCCGGTGAAGATTGTTGGGAGATATAATTCACAGATTCGAGATATTTGGATAATGTGCGTTCTTCTGGATCTTACGTGCAAAATCTTGCGTACGTCTTTCTTAGCTCAGCTTCGATGTCAACTCCGGATAATAGCAATTCATGGCACCAGATACTCCATACGACAGGAGATGAGGCGAAGTCAAATGGCGTCCAATTGTAATCATCAGCAAGAAAGGGGTCGAAGCCGTGAGATGCAATACGTCGGGCAATTAACGTGCTGGTATCTCAGTGAGTGGCATTTTTCATACCATGGTCGCTTCGGCTCAGAGTCGATTCTTTGGCGTTGAGGGTAGAGAGCAGGATCCATTTCCGAGTAATATATCCTAACTCGGGCAACAATACCGAGACAAAACCCATCAGTTCCTTATGAGCTATCTGTATTTGGCCTGCTAAGGCTAGAGTGAAGGAAAGGGTTAGAGTTCTGGAACTGAATGCAGAAATCCTCATCGAAAGGAGTATCGAAATCAGCGCTGTGTTCTCCTAGGTCATTGCCGTCGACCTCGTTCTGCAAAGGGTCGTCATCATCGTCGCCGTTGTGCTCGTCATTCTCGTCATCAAGGCTAGTGCTCTCTCCATCACTAGACTGAGAATTCCGAATATTGCTGTCAGACCCGAAAACGTCCTTGATACGGCGGGAGATTTCTGAGATTATGAAGGAGTCGATATCAAAGAGTTCATCTTTGAAGGGACCTTGGTCCTGATGAGCCATAGGCTTGCTGAACCACTTGATGATAGGATCTTCGGTTTCATCTCTGCGGAGGAGGCGGTATATCAATGCGACAAGTCCTTCAATCGCTGACAAGTCAGCTCCAGTTGAAGCTCGGGCGCCAATAAAGCTCCCTTGAGCCTTGCAAAAACTTCATCCGTCCCTTTCCTCACAATTCTTTCGACACTCAAAGAAGGACATCTTGTAGGGCAACACTCGAAGGTTACCACATCGCCAACATCACTGTAGTCTTCGCTGCGGCTGCCTTCTTTGAGGCCTTTGGGATGATATGCATCAATGAGTAGTACCTCACGAGCACCAACGGCGTCAACTAGTTCCCGCCTGCGCTCTCCCTCTTGAGTGGTACGAGTCAATCCTAGGGTTGGGTCTACCGCTGACTTACTCTTGTTTGTTTCCAACACTTCTTTAGACGATTTGGCGATAGTCTCCACAGTTATGACTTTCACGGCTTTGTCTCGACTCAGTCCCTTGGCAATCTCTTAGAGAACCTTTACTTCCAGCTCCCGACTTAGTTCAACCAGGAGGTCGCGTTGACGAGGCCAAAAATACAGCATACACGTGTCGGTCAATACCCCAGTCATGTAGGTTGCATAGAGAGCCTTGATTAATGGATTCGGAGGAACAGCAGGGCGGGAAATGCGAGGACCCCATTGTGTACGCTTCAAATTGAAGAACTTTGCGCAACCGGGTCTGGTCTGGTCGCGGACAAGTGTCTCAACCAAAGGACGATCGATAGGCGATATTGCGGTTAAGCTTTGAACAGTGTTACTAGTATCAGACAAGTTCGCCATAGCATGGAAACCTGATGGATCGGATTGCGCTCCAACACGGCCCACGCGGTTGCTGCAATCCTCGATGTTGAAGGCAAGTGGAACGGGCTGCTTTATTTAATATGTACTCAGTTCCCCGGAGGCCGTGACACGTGCTGAGCAAGCATAGTTGAATTTGATGCAACGATCACATTTTCGACCGGGCCAAGGACGATCGGTGGGAGTGCACTGCGACCAATCATTCAGCCGAAGTCTAGCATATAAGGGGCTAGCCGTCAACATACCTTCTGCCGATCATTGCGGCGTCGATTTTATTTATTTCAAATAGTGTAACTTCCTTGGCTGGCGTGGTATGTTCGAGGATAATATTGCTCATATTCTGAATTCGCTGAGGGTCAAACAAACTACTGGAACAGGTAAGCTCTTGGGACAACCACGCGCTCAGGTAAGCGTGTCTTTTAACGGATAAAAAGGCCGAGGAAAGGCAAAAGAGAAAGTGAGAAATTGGTTCGCCTTTATAGCCATCACCACCATATTAGCACTTTCATCGCAGCCTCTCCTAAAATGTTATGGGTTTTCGCACTGGAAGGTGGAGGCTTTCGTACTGTGCAAACTCAGAATCACGAGCCCGCATGCTTAGAACAGTGGCATCGTTCTCCTGCTGCAAGTCGAATTGACATTTGGAAACACCTGATGGTCAAGCTTGAGGGTGCTTACACAAGTCCACATGTTTGATTCTCTTTATTGCGGTGCCATATCTGCCCTTCGCTCACATAGTCTTTTCTCAGCACGACAGTATTCCAGAGCCCTCGAGCCTCACCAAAACTCCTAGAAAATAGCACTAGATATATTTGACTAGTCAATACAAGAAGCAACTATTATAATGGAGTTTGGCATGCACGTGCACAACACCCAGGTGCCTGTCCCGCAGGTCGGAAATTGAGAACGCGTTTCTAGTCGGCGCTGGCGAGACCACACTCAAGAATAGGTAGACGGTATCAAAAAACTAGATTACTCGACTCAAACTATAAAGAATGGCACGCTGCCAACACTGTGAACCGTCCTGCGCTCCCACTAGAAATGGCATGATCTTTTTCTGCACAAACAGAAGCCAATCTTAGTCCTTTTTTGGTTTGACATGTTGTTGAGAGCAGAACGCCACTGTGGCAAACCAACCAATCCACCAATGCTTCAACCGAAGCCATTCTATATCAGCCTCGGTGCCACCGTTAGTCGAGAACAAGGTCTGGACAGATCTGACAGGTCCAGATCTATTCAGCGGACCGCTTGTTGCCACAGTGCAAATAGTATATAGATAGGCAGAGTCTCTCTAAATAGCCAGCAGAACACAATCAAGCAGATAGATCCACTCTCACTCTGTTTACAACACATGTGACCAGCCAAATCCCCTTCCTGCTAGTCCTTTAGCATCCCAGCACAGCCACTTTGCCTTGTTACAGGAGCTGCAAGACGAGGAACTGTTAAGTTAATAGAGAGCATCGACATATACTCAGAGATGTCTTTCTATCTGTTCATTTAGCGAGTTCCTTCCTATTTATATAGACATTTGGCCTGTGTGTAGAGGGGCATTCCTGACACCCTCATATCGACATCATTTAGAACGATGTCATCCTGGTCAACTGGCTTGACGTAAATGGCGCCATTGACGCTGTCAACGTGCCCTGTTTCACGCATTTGCTCACTTTGGAAACGGCTAAGTAGGTGGAAGTCTCGCAACCGTGAAATACTCTTTATCTCACAGCAGGGTATTGCAACACCGTAGTACTTCTGTGGCTTCAGCCTCCCTCGGTGACGCTTGAGCAGCTAGCCGTCAACTGACAACCGTTGGGCGGTATAGTAGGCCAGACTTGGCCAGAATGATCCGCTGCATGACTACTGTATCAATGAAATGAGTCTAAACTGGTGGTAGCAAGTGGGTTTAATTGCTCCATCCGCTGCCATTTATATTCGGCAGCATTCATATCTGGCAATGTCGTTGCTGTCGAAGGAGATCAGGCTGAAGCTGCCTTTAGGATACCTATAATTTTCCCAGAGCCCTACAGAATAAACACAGCAAAGAGGCTAATACGCTAACGGGGGAGGAACGTATAAGGACCGCATGCTCTCCCCGTTTTCTACTCAAACCCTCTTCAAGGCTTTGAGTCTCTGTATATACGCGGAATACACGAAGGATATTACTGCTAAATACTTCTATTGATTCGTCTATTTCCTAGCCGCCTTCTCTAACACTGGCGCCGGTATTAGTGGTAAGTAGCCGCATAGGGGAGGGCAGTTTTGGAGGGACGAGGCGCATGTCGCCAGCGATGTGGAATTTTTTTTAAGGATACCGTCTGCCAAAGACGAGATTAGGACTTCGTAGGCTGCTATGTCGATAAACTAATTCTGGCAGCCCGGAAGGAGGTTATGACGATTCTTACATGGCGAGATGGGCACTTCCCTGCCTTCCTCCTTCCCAATCCATTCCTTGAAGGCTCGGATACACTAAAACGCAGTGCTTCGTTCATTGAGCATCAACGCTCTGGGGGAGCATTTAGGACACGACTTCGTACAACTCGACTTCGCTTAATACACTGTAGAAACTCGCCCTACTTACACCACAGGATTCGCCTCGTTGTCTCAAAAGATGATTCCGACTATTGAGGGTGATGGGGGCAACTTTATGCTTTGATGGGCGAAACGATCTAACCAATAGACACGGCGCGAACGAGATACCGAGATACCTAAATTTACAGAAGGATGTTGTCCAAACACCGATGTCATCAGGTTTTGGCGACACTAGACTTTATCAGTCACATTAAGCGGAGTTGCCATTGTCCGAAGGCGCTACTCAAGGGCCAAGTTGCTGTCCAGAGAGATTCCTATTCAAGCAACTCTGGTTTGCTCCTCTTCATGGGAGGCAGATGTTTGACGAAGAGCTGAGCAGCAGTTGCACCTTAACCGTTCTGTGTCAGGATAACTCTCAACTTAACCCTTGCAATGTCTTTATATGGGATAGGAAAATCTCTTGCTCGAGATGAACCCGCATGTTTGGCAGCATAGCCGGCACAGGCGTGCCATTATAAGGAGGACATCATTGTTATAAACACCAAGGAGATACAAGGAGCATTTATGTGCTCCGTGTCTAGGGACTATTACAGTGCGGTTGATGCCATGTCAGACAGATTGCTCTGTGGCCCTATGGTGAATCCTCCAAGATCCTCTTATGCATAGTTCGTAGAGGCTTTGACTACCCAGTAAGCTCCGCTCGTCCCTCTCGTTCTTTCGGCGTAGCAACTTTCACGACTGGTATATCTTTGCATCATAGACCACGAAGGCGCCGATTCTTCTCTTGCTTGTGTCGCTAGCGCTTGCAGGGCAGGGTTTGCGCCTGCATCTAAAAGAAGTCTCGTCACCTTCGGGAACCCTCCGTACGTTGAGTGCATCAGCACACTTCAGCCGTTGGTGTCGTTGCTTCAATATCAACCTCCCCGGTCTCGAGCAAGAAGCGCACTACCTCCGCATCCTTCTCCTTATTTTGAGAGTTGACTGCAGCATCGAGCACAGTCTCGCCAGTCTTGGCATCGATGAGATCAAGAATGCGCTCACATGTCAGAGAGGAAAATTGTACCATGGCCCTATGGTGGATTCTCCAACCCAGCGAGCGGCCACTAAGGCAGGGGCATCGTGTCGGTGTCGTAGGGGTGAGTACAGGGCGGCGTCACTTTTGTCTCAATACGGGACAAGGCGCGAACAATCTCTATTGACCTTTGGCATGCGTGGTCATCGGAGGATCGTACTTTATTCCCAATGGAGATATTCGCTCGCTAATATGCTGCTCAAGAGCCAATTTGGAGTCCAAGGCCACTACTACCTCATCCATCTCAGTCAACTACGAGGCACAACCAAGTGTCTGGAACTCTGTATTGAGTCTCCCGCCTCTGTCGCTGATGCCTTAGACAAACCTCCGTTCAGAACAATTTGACTCTGCCCAGCACCAGTCCTTGCCGCATGCTCCCGCATCACCCTCCCAGCATCACCCTCGCCCTCCAATGACGACCCGTGGACTTTCAATCGACGGGGTCAGATTTCGAGATGCTGAAGGACGCGAGGTGACTTTTCGCGGCATCAACGTCGCTGGAGACTGCAAACTGCCCCGTCACCCGAGCCAACCCTCGCACGAACTGAAGGACTTCTTCGACGCCAAAAATGTCTCCTTCGTGGGACGCCCTTTCACGGAAGAGGAGGCACATATACATTTTGCAAGGATAAAAAGATGGGGCTACAATCTTATTCGGTATATCTTCACTTGGGAAGCCCTGGAACATGCTGGACCAGGCCAATACGACGAGGAGTTTGTAGAGCACACCATCAAGATCTTGCGGATTGCAAAGTCCTATGGTCTCTATGTCTTCATGGATCCCCATCAGGACGTCTGGTCAAGGTTTACCGGCGGCTCCGGCGCACCCCTGTGGACGCTCCATGCCTGTGGGCTGGATCCAGAGACCTTCGTAGCAAACCAAGCTGCTGTTGTTCACAATACCTGGCCGAACCCTGCACAATTCCCCAAGATGCTGTGGCCCACGAACTACACCCGCATGGCTACCGAGACTACATTTACCCTGTTCTATGCAGGTCGGGACTTTGCTCCAAACGCTATCATAGATGGCAAGAACATCCAGGACTACTTGACGGACCATTTCATTTCAGCGTGTGCACATCTGGCTCAGCGAATACACGACGCTGGCGGCCTGGAGGATGATTGTATCATTGGCTGGGAAACAATGAACGAGCCGCATCGAGGATTGATCGGCTGGGAAGACCTGGACGCGCTTCCGGATGAGCTGAAAATGAGGAAAGGAACCATGCCAACCCCATGGCAATCCATTCTCACGGGATCAGGGCGGGCTACAGAAGTCGACGTCTACGAGTTCAGCACTTTCGGGTCATACAAGAGTGGCCGAGAACTAGTGGATCCGGAAGGGGTGTCGGCCTGGCTTTCGAAAGATTTCGATGATACAAAGTACGGCTGGAAGCGAGATCCTGGCTGGAAGCTCGGCGAGTGTTTATGGGCTCAAAACGGCGTCTGGGATCCAAGCCAAGACCAACTCTTGAAGCCAGATTATTTCGCCACCATACCCAAGTCAGGAGAGAAGTTGGACTACCTCAAATACACCAACATATACTACATGCAACATTTCCGGAAGTATAGAGATGCTATTCGCTCGATTCACAAGAATTGCCTGATTCTGGTGCAATCGGCCGTTCTTGAAATACCCCCAAGCATCAAGGGAACTGTCGACGACGATAAGAGATTGGTCTTTTCTACTCATTACTACGATGGCATCACGCTGCTCCAGAAACACTGGAACAAATACTACAATGTGGACGTCTTTGGTATACTGCGTCACAAATACTCCAACCCCGTGTTCGCTGTTCGGCTCGGTGAGAATGCTATCAGGAAATGTTTGCGAGACCAATTGAGAGCGATACGCGAGGAAGGGGTGAATTATCTGGGAGAACATCCTACACTTTTCACAGAAATCGGCATCCCCTTCGACATGGATGACAAATACGCCTACACGACCGGTGACTATTCCAGCCAGATCTCGGCCTTGGATGCCAATCATTTCGCCTTGGAAGGGTCGGGGTCCCAGGGATATACTCTGTGGACCTACGTCAGTCAGGCAAGTAATACTCTAGCCCAGCACATTCGACTACTAACATCTCCAGAACAACCACGAATGGGGCGACTTGTGGAACGGCGAAGATCTCTCTATCGTCTCAGTCGACGACCCTCTCCTTCCAAGCGTCTCGACATTATCTGCGCTCCCCTCCGCCAATCCCTCCATAACCTCCTTAGGCCAGCAATCAACCTCCCATTCAAGCGCGACACTGTCTGACTCGACCACAATAAACCCATCCAACCTCAAAGAGGCACTTAAAACTCCGCAGATCAATCAAACGCTTCAACCTACTCTGAGAACTACGGAGGGGACACCCGGTTTCCGTGCTGCCGAAGCCTGGGTTCGGCCTTCCCCAATCGCAACCGTCGGCGACGTTGTGAGTTACGGCTTCGACCTGAAGACCGTGACATTCACATTCTCCTTGACCTCCGACAACCCGACAAACGAATCCGTCCCCACGGAGATTTTCTTGCCCGAGTTTCACTTCCCGCCCGGTAAGACGCAGGTGGAGGTTAGCGGCGGGCGATGGAGACTCGACGTTCTGGATGTCGATGGCGAAGGCATGCAGGTCATGAGGTGGTGGCATGGGGCCGGGGAGCAGACCATGACTGTCAAGGGGATGAAGAGGAAGCCCGGGGCGCTGAATGAGGAGGAGGATGCCGAAGCTGGATATTTGGATACAATGAGGGAGAACTGCTCGGTCATGTGAAACTACTTTTTTTTGGAAAGAGCGTTTTTGTTTGGTCTTCAGGGCACCTCATGTCTGTGTTTGGGCGCTTTTTTGAAGAAGGCGTTAGTAAGTAGAGACTCATCCCCTGCGGTTTCTCATTTGGTCGGGACAACTGCATATGACTGGGCCCCAGGGATACAAATTGTGATTGTCCATTTTGCCATCCCATTTACGTCTCCAGCTGGAGCTAGAAAAGGAAACTATACCATGAATGAATGGATTCGATACGCAGCCCCTAATGCGAACTAGGCTTGATTGATCACATTAGATTCTCGAGACGCGGCGTATATCGTTGAGTGAGTGAACCGTTCCGGTGTACGGAGTACAGGGAGTACTAGTACCGTTCGCACGGAGGGAGCCTTTCGACGGGGCCGGCTGCTATGTAGGTATGTAGGTAGCTCCAGGATGCAGGAACAGGACGCAGTATGGGGACGATATGCAACGCATGCTGGTTCATTATGGGCTTTTCAACTTTATATCGCCCTGGGGCTCACCAGGCAGCACATCATCACCACCAACGTCATCCCCGTAATTACCGTCGGCAGCGTCGTTACCGTCATCGTCGTCGTCGTCGTCCTCGCCATCTTCCCCCTCGGACTTCCCGTTCTTCTCTCCGTCCAAAGCCCCAGCCTCCCTCAGCTTGCCACCTTTCCTCTTGGGAATGACCCTCAAAAAGGCCTTGCCCCAATCCTCTTCCTCGATATAGCGGAGCAGGATTTCGACGACGTGATTCGTCGCCAGGACCTTGCGGGACGTCATCTCCAGGTACTCGCCGATGGGCAATTTCGCTGTCTTAACCCCGCGCGCCGTGGCCGTCTTGTAGCAGATACCCTTGTGGCGGTTCTTGTCGACCAGGCCGCCGACGATGTACGTCGTGTATGGGGACAGTGTGTCGAGGGTGTAAGGGGAGTCGGAGGTCAGGTAGACTATTTCACCTTGGGAAGAGGCAGAGGGGTCTGATGGCGAAGAGCGATGAGCTTCCGGTTGGCCGGACACCGAGGCTTTGGGTGGTGAGGTATCCTGGACCCTGAGAGGGTCGTCTGTGTCGGGTTCCCCGATCCCTCCTGGTCGTGGAGAGGTATCTGCATCTTTGGGATCTTCACATGCTTCGCCCCCAGCAGGTCCCGGGCCACCAGCGCTAGCAGTCGTACAATGAGCGTACTTCTCAAAACACGCGACCAACTTCCCACCATTAGGCCCTTTCATGAACTCCTCAGCCTTCTTCGCCGCCACTACAAAATCCCCGTCCTCAAACGTTACATTCCTCCAATTCAGGTAATGCTTACTGAGCACGGTATCGAATCTCTCCTTCAGTAACCCGCCCCAGGAGCTAATCACAAGATTTGTCTGGTAACGGGCGCGGGAGTTGTCAGAATAAGACCGCGTCAGTTGTGAACCTAGGGATATGCGCTCTTTTTCCATCATGAGGTCGTCGAAGCTGCAGTCTATGATGATGGTCATGGGGACCTGGACCGGACGACGGAATTTGATCTTGGAGGGCAGGTGTGGTGTATCCGTCTTTGTCCTTTGCACGTCTCCATTTCCTCCTTCGGCAAGGGAGGGTTGTTGCTGTAGTAGCTGGAGACGGTGCTGTTCCTCCTCTTCTCGAGCTGCGCGTTTCCTCGCCTTTCTCTCCTGTGTCTTCTGTTTTCGTTTTGCCTTGCGGTAATCTCGAGCTGCCTCCCACTCTTCTCGCTTTCGCAGTTTCTTCAGCTGGTTCTTGGAAAGCGGCTTTGAACCGTCGCCGTCTTGCTGCTGATGCTGCGGCGGCACCTTGCAAGCAGGGTGATGTCGGGTATCTAGGTCCACCTCCACGCCGCCCGACTCGTCTTGGATGTCTTCTTCTTCCTCTTCTTCTTCTTCTCGTGTCACTGAATGATCTTCATTATTAGCAGCACACTCCTCTGGCTTACTGTTTTGCAACGAGAGAGCATCGATGGTGCCAGTGACCGTGCCATGGAATTTTGACAACAGAGGAGTATCTGCCTCTTCAGGCGAGCCCATGTCATCGTTCGAGTTGAGCTTCCGAAGCTTTGCAGGACGCTCCTCTGCCTCCATCGCAGGAGCCAATCGCGCTGACGGTCTTGGATTTGCTGGCAAGTGAATGTAGAGCTTTCGAAGTTTTTCTCGCAGCACTTGTGGTCGCCGCGAGATTGTGTACGTGCTGCTTTAAGCGTCTAGTCCGAATTAGGCAACCCCGAACCTCGCTCCGCTGGACCTCTCAATTGGCCTCCATCTTGGACTCCAAAGCTTCCCTTACACAACCTATTTACCACTACCCGCGCTGTCTATGTAGGTCCAACACCAACAACAAGACCAGTCAAGCCTTGGAGGACCTCTAGACAAATGCCACAAGATCTCCCGCCAACGGGCGGCTACGAAGCCGTCCAATACAGAGTACGTCTCACCAAGCTTCCTCTCCCACATCTTCTTCCTCTTGTTCCTCCCTGTCCATTAACCCTCCGTTATTTTTCGGGAGCAGCAGGACTAACAATTCCCGCAGCGTAATATCCCCACGCGTGGCCTCAAACCCTTCTGGTACCTCGTCGGCGTCGGCCTGGTGATGGCCTACGGCTGGCGCCAGGTGTTCGTCGGCCAGCGCGAAAAACACGAAATGGCCCGAGAGAAGATGTGGAGCCGGATACACCTGACGCCATTGCTGCAGGCGGAGGAGGACAGGGATCAAGTGAGGAGGTATTATGCAGATTTGGCCCGGGAGAAAGAGTTGCTGGGTAGTCAGAGCGGGGCTTATAACAGTGATCGGTACGCCCTTTTTTCCCCTTTTCTGCATTTTTATTGTTTCTGTCCTGGACTCAGCTGGACTGGATCGGATTAGAAGACGTTGAAAGAGGCGGAAATAGAAAGACACGAGGACCCTAAAGCGACGACGGCGAGGACAACAAGAACGCTTGCTAATAGACCTGACCTGATTCACATAGATTCGTGAGACCGACATTCACAGCTACACCCAGCAGAACTGTGGAATGAAGCGGACCACGTCGCAGCATTTTTACTAGCGGAACCCCTTCCTCGACTTGAAATATCCTCCAGTGCTGGCTTGCTCCTCTTCCCCGGCGCTCGCAAGTCCCCTGGGTGGGCGCAATGCCTCCCAAACAACCCGAGAGCCAACAATGCCACAATAGCAAGGACCCTCAACGGGTTGAGGGTTGGGATGTGGAAAGATCTTCAGCGACCTGACATGTACATAAACAAAAAACTCACGATACAGAAAACATCATTGGAACAGGAAACCATCATTCCATTACGGATGGTCATCTAGCAAGAACAGGGCCGACTTCTCACGGCCCCCAATCGTGTTTGAGCTGCACGTGGCCTCTATCCAATCTTCGTTTGGATATCCCAACAAATCTGCTTGCTCTATTTCCCGCTGTCGTTGTCTGCATCTTACTCCTAGCCAGCAAACATATCGGCGACTCCGGCCAAATCAGCTCCGTCATCCCCAGCACCAGACTCGATTCTCGGTTGCCCCACTTCCTCAACACCCTGCATGCTCAACATCTCTCTTTGCTTATACTTCTCCAGTATCTTCGAGTGCTGCTGCCTCGTGTCGATCTTGCCGAGTTCACTGACTCGGACGCCTCTCACGCCTTCGAGTAGTGCTAATATGATGGCTCGGAGCCTCTTTGACCGGTTGCCCATCGAAGCTTCCTTGAGAAGCAGTGTGGATGCATGGGCAACCTTTGCCTCCGTCATACCTGGTAAGCTGAGGATCACGTCTCGGGGAGTCGAGGTCAACGGTGGGCGCTCGTGGGCGGGCACAGTCTCTGTCACGGGGATGTGGTTCGGTAAGCCGTACGAAAGCCAGATTGTGGCTATCAGTTGGGAATAGTATACTTGCTGGTCGGCAAAGTAGCCATCGTTCAAGCATGTAATCGCCGTCTTGAGCATCTCCGTCGAGATGTACTCGCGCACAGCGGCAGCTTCCTGCCCACTAATATAGCGGTCGGACGCAAACTCTGGAACAAGGCGGTGCGCAGTCATGAGCATCTGGTAGGACGATTTCGTATCCTTGAATGCCAGCGAATGGGTGATGAGGACAAGTAGCTTCTCGAGGATGAGCACATTCGAAAGTAAAAATTCTCGCATCGTTTGTTGAGTGCTGTCCGTCAAGTATTTGCCATTGACAATCGACTTTTTGGTGCTCAGTTCCTGCTCGCGCCTTGGTTGTAACCAGTGTGCAACCAGATTGATCGCTCTATAAGTAGTTTGTCTCAGCACCGAGTCGTCTCTCATTTCGTCGGCGAGATTCTCCTCGTCATGCTTGTTCTGTTTTCGCTGGTTCATCTTCTCCCATTCACTTGAGAGCTTGCTGTCCATCTGCGCGAGGACTGACAGTATAATTGGGGTCAAGAAATGCGGCCGACTCTCCGGTGGACATTCGTCGATCAGCTTCGGCAACATCTGAAGCATGACAGAGAAATGGTGCGGACTCAGGGGAGCTGTAGTATCAATAGCAGCTTGTGCGATCAACTCGGGGAGTTGCTGCAAGCTGTAGAAAGTCGGGCCCAGCCTGCCCAGTGTATGGAGGATGCTGTAGCACTGTTCGAGGTGTCCACGTATTTTGCCGCGCACTGTAGAGGCGAATCCCTCGAGTGTTGACCTGGAGGCTTTGACCCTGCTGTGAAAGTCGCCCATTGAACCTGCCGATATCCCTGACTGCCAGTATCGGTCTCGGAGAACTCGTCGGATGACGCCCTCCAACTCAGGGGGAACATTGGGCCATGATGATGGATCGTGCAACTGATGGTTATAGCTTGTAAGCCGGAGAACGTACTCCAGCATCGTCGGGACCATAGGTGACCACATGTCGCAAATCATTTTCTGGAGCTGAGAACCCTGCTCAAGTCTCTCGGTCGATATGCTCAGAAAAATCCGTGTTGCTCGGAGAGGCAATTTCGCATACGCTGACGACATTTCGTCCTGAATTTGCAGCCCGCGATTGTCGTAGGGAACTGCAGACCAATCCTCAATCTTTCCCGCATCCAATGATGCCAGGTAGGGTCCGATCTGGTCGAATGCTTGAAAATGAGCAAATGACTCAAGACTGCCCAGAGCCGTTTGAAAGCTTTGATCCGCCCAGGCTGCAGCAATCGGTCGAAGAAATTCTTCGAGCCTAGCTTGACGTTGGGCGTAGCCTACCCCTGTTGCGTGTTGGACGACAGAGAAGAGCGTAGATCTCAAATCAACCTGCAGCCGCTCACTGGCACCGATTTGATCTATCAGATCTGCGAATTTCACCTGCAGCTGGTCGTAGAAGGTGACAAAATAGTCGGCATGTTGCAGCGACAAGCGTCTCAACTCGCTGGTTGCATAGCTGTGGAGGTCCTCGACAGCATCCGCATAGGCGGAGCCTTGTTGCCCAATTATGATGAATGATGACAATATGTGCTCCAGAACTCTAAAGGCGAAGCCCGTGTCCTTCTTTAAGGCTCGATTGGAAACTTCGACTACCGTCTTGATCTGGCGTTGTCTGATCTGCGGGTCTTTAAATTGTCTGGCGCTCATCATTTGCCACGTCCAAGTTTTTATTTCTTCCCGCATTCGTCGTCCGAGCTGTTCTTCTTCCGGAGTTGAACTTTCTCGACGTGCCACCTGCCATCGATCAAACCCTTTGAAAGCTGCATCAGCCAAGGCGAAGTAGCCATCGGCGCGTAGTACATGCATTGAGACACGTTCGTACCTCGTAAGATCGAATTGCTGTTCAGCTGCTTCGATCTCATTCAAGAGAGAATCAACTCGGCCCATGACTGCAAAAATCGCCTCTTCCAGTTGTGCGAAACAGATCCATTCAATGACAGCCGAGCAGAGTCTGCGATAGTTCATGTAGAAACCCTGCCGCTCCGGAAAGAGTTCAATCTCTTCATTCACGAAAATCACGACGGGTTCCTGGGCGTCCTCAGGAATCTGATCGTATTGCATGAGTCGTTGTGACGCTACCTCCAGGAGCGGCCCGATACATTGGGAGACGGCAGAAGATGTCCGCCAGCTCGGCACCTCCAACATTTTGACCCAAGAGTGAACAACTGGGATAGAGACAATCAGGCTTTCATGTTCTGCGACCATGGTCAACAACCGCAAAAAGGGAAAAAGGTCGAGAGTGCCGAAGTCTGGAGGTTTATATTGGCACATGTGATCCGCGAATAGGGACATCAACTCAGAGAGTTTCTTGGAAATGGAATACTTGCTGCTGTCCATTTCATTCACCGAAACAACAGACCAGCTGTATAGTTGCCTTAGTGTCGCGATGCTGTCCGGCTGAATGATAGGATGCACAAGGGCTTGCACTTCGAGCTCTTCTAGTCGCACTCTTCCGTACAACGACAGAAGACTGTCGATAGCAGCCATGATGAGATCCGGGTCCGCGCGGGTGAGGAACCCACAAGTCACTGCCAAAGCCATCGAATGTACAATAGCCGGTGTCATTACCCAAGTGAAGACCGAGCGTATAGTGGCAAGAGCCTTAAGGACGACTTCCTTGAGTTGTCCCTCTATGTTAGGGCTTTGGATTGCTTCCTCAAGGAATTTCCTGATTCTAGTGAGCCAACCCTCCTCTCCATAACGCATGTAGTGGGTGATGTCGCCGATCTTGATGCCTCCTGCAAAGTTGGAGCTCGATGTGAAGATCTCGACAAGCGCCGAGTTCAGGTCTCGCCCTCGTAAGATGGCAATGCTATCGTCGCGAACAAAGATGTCTTCGGACAAATTTTCCAGTATGGTGAGAACGAAGTCCTTGCGGACAAGGTCCAAGTCCCACAAGCGCACCAGTCGCCTGTCCAAGTCGAACATATCTAGAGCCCAGAACCGCTTTGCCAATTCGATCCATAACTCGGCGATTTTGTTGCGAATGAAAACAAGATCTGTGTCCTGAATCGAATGGGCAAGCTCATGAACACATTTCTCCAGCTGATGAGTTTGCTCTTTGGAGAGATGGTGATGCTCATGCCGGATAACATGGCTCAGCAGGGAAAGGCCGAAATGTCGTACCAGAACCGGTTGCGCTTTGTCTTCTGCGAGGGCGCAACCGTACTGAAGCGCTTCCCGGCTCAACTTTAGATTTTCCAGGTACGCTGAAGCTTGGGCCCTGACCTCGTTCTTGGTGGCGGGGTTGTGAATGACCTGTAGGGCCTCCAGGATATGGGAGGTATCGTAAGTCTGGCCATATGCTCCATTTGGGGTGCCGTTAGCCGTAGCTGTGTCTGTCATCTCCAGGTTTTTCGATCTAAATGGTGACAGACTGTGATGTGAGTGGCATGTCGGCCTCTGATGGACTGGCTTAGGAGGTCGAGGACGAGATTATCGAGCGTTACGTTGAGTTGATTTGGTGTTGCTCTGGATGATAAGTTGCAACGGCCTTAGAAATCGTCAATGTAAGATTTCTTTGTCGGTCTGATGGTTTGGCTGCTTTACAGTCAAGATTTGTCACCCCAGACACCGCCCGTTCTCGTCGCTTTGTCTAGGAGAGCATCAGGTCTCCAGGCCTAAAAAGTAACACGGTAGAGAGCTACAGGGTTGCTGGCTAGCGCTTTTAGGCGATACAGACGGAGGATGGTAGAAGCAGGGGAATTGTTTGAGGAAGAACAGCGGCATGCGACACCGGCCACGCTGCCAGCGAGTGAAGTGACGATTTGCTGATGCAACAAACCGAACAAACGAAACAAACTCCTGCCAACCAAACGGCCACTCTACATCACTAGCCCAAAAGGGGAAGTTTAGCCGGCCTGCTATTCATCCCTTGAGTACCGAGTACGAGTATCACCCACCTTGGTAGGTACTTTTTATATCACTCTTACCAATTGATTGATATCGACATGCCGA